TGTGTACCAGTCAGGATTCAGGTTGTGCGACATCTTGGTGCGCATACTTCTGGAGCACCATTTTTTTAGAGCTCATTATAAGCTACTCAAATTGTACACAAGTGGGAAGGTGACTTGCGCCTAACATTAGTTAGAATTTACTGAAGATTAAAAACGAAACGGGCGTAGGACAGAATCCAAGGAAAATGTCGGTGGACTATACTGTTTAAAAACATTTCAGGTATTCGTCGAATGGGATTACAATTTCATTATTAGTATTATTGCATATTTTGACGAAATAATTTTTTGTGAGGCAATTTGTCCAAAGCAAAGCCACGTTCATTTAGCTTGAACTCTTAACGGAAACGTAGTATGTGACCACGAGGGAAGATGGATTACAATAAAATATAGCATTGGCTTTGCATATTCATCTTTGGTAGGTAAGGCGATAAGATGGCGACATAACCATATGGCGAACTACGGCCTCTCGTCCAGTCCATGACAGGTAAGAGGTATGGGATTAGTTGTTTGTTTGACTTTGCGATGCATGGACTTTTTGGTGGAGGCGGTTACATGAACCACCCTACGGCTAATATCCAATGACAATGCGTAAAAATATTTTTGAAAGCAATGTGACAACTTATACTTATATTTCAAATTTTACTGGCGCTGTTGAATAATAAAAATTTATGGAAGATTTTTTCGTTGTAGTGCAGTAGTTTTAGACTTTGATTTTTTTAATATTCAATATTAAAAATTGCGTTCCATGGGGAACTGGCTCGGGGTGGTAATTTTCGATGACAGTCAAGGAAAAATTATTATGGTCATTCAAATAGGGTTAATGAAAAGAAAAAGGAACAGAAAATGCCGAGGAAAGTTTAGATCAAACGGAAAACTATCAATATTTTGTATTGTTAAAGGTTTACTAATATCATGGATGGGTGTACCAAAGTCTGAAAGTTCATGCATCTGAAACAAATATCCGGTCCCAGCCGTTGGCCGCCATATGATTAAGCTGATTTATCGGCTTCCCTCTCTCTAGTATAAATATTTAAATCTTATTCTATTTAAATCCTAAGTCAGTCAAAAGCGAGACATAAATAGAATGCGGGTTCGCTAACCATCTTGCTATTGACCCTAGTGAGACTTTTTGATTAACATCACTCCTGACTGTAGGGTTTTCATCTTCCCGCAGCCTTCACCGGCGCTTGTCTCTGCTTGTTTATCGTCAGTCGGATCAATGACATTAAACAACATGATGCGCAACTCCGGCATTTTTGTCCGAAGATCGTATTTGATAGCACGCTCCAATGCACATACTTGACGAGACGAAAACGAGCGGATGTGTGCTGCTTTCAAGGCGTAGCACGAATGGTGTTCGTGCCTGCTTCGTCAGTTGTTGTTGATTTTAATGATATTTTGGAAAGTTAAGGTAAAAAGAAATCGGAAAAAGGTAAGGTAAATACTATTGTGGTATATCACACCCGGGCATCGCACTGTTAAGTACATGTGGGAAAGCCAGCCTTTGTCAATTCAGTACGGTACGTAGTTGCCCATTTGCCGAAATTACATATTTACTTATCCCTTATGGTTTCAAATAGTTCATGCACCTCCAGTTAGACTCTTTTAATCAGTGAGGATATTTACTCATTGTTGATTGCTGCTCATTGTAATATACTATTGCGCATTCACTTATATTTGCGTATTGAATCAAAGTGTTAACAAGTTCACCTAACATTTCACTCATACTGGTCTATCTTGTATAGTCTGATCTCTCAAGTATTTGGAGCCGCGAATGCTTGTAATTTTCTGACTAAACCCTTTTATTAGTTGGTTTATATACAAAATTCAGTAAATTATGAGATATTGGATTTATTAGCTTTTCCATTCTAAACCATATAGACTGCTTTATTTATTCTTAACGAAAATTAATAAATCTCCTCTCTTTCTTCAGATGTGAAAGTTGTGGACAAACCTGTCTAAGCATTGTGAGACTCCTGCAGCACAAGAGGTAATAGCAGAAATAGTAAGTATATCAATCAAGAAATTAAGCCGACATAAAGCAAAACTTTCAACTATTCGTCTAATCTTAATTTCCTATTATTTATTCACAGGACAACTATAGCAGAAGGGGAGATATCAGAAGTCTGGCGACATATCAGTGACAGTGTGATTCCAAGAAATATAATTAGAGTACTCCATAAATGTTTGCAATAGAAAAACAACCTATGGAGGCATACAAAGACATTTGACCCTCCGGTAGAGTTGTGTATGGCCCCCACATCCTGCAGGGCTTGAGGAAAAGAACTAAAAATTCCCAAGCGTAAGATTGCATAAGCGGTCTTATTTGTAAAAAGGCACAAAACACGCCAGACATACTTAAAAATACTATCATGTATTTTTTGGACAACTTCAATCTAGACCAGGGATCTCAAACTCGCGTCCCCAGAGAACTTCCAGTGCGGCCCTCGAACGCTTAACAATAATTGTAATAGTATTTTGGAAGTTTTTTTTTTATCTAAATGTAATAGATTTTTCAAACCTTTTAAAGTGAGATTGATTATCCACACAGAAAACAATTTACTGAAAGTAGTTTTGGAATATTAATTTTTTTTTGTCCACATTTTGACCCAATTAAGAATACACATCAAGCTAGCAAAAGAATACTTGAATAAAACACTTGAGTGATTAAATCAAACGCAAAGTACATGAAGAAGGTGGCATTTTCGAAGAAAATGGGAGTTGCAATATTTCTGCTTTCCACAAAATTTTGAAACACATTGTTTAATTTGTCATATTTCCATCAATACAATGAAAAAACACAATAAGCTCAGCAGTCAATATGACAAATTCGAAGACCAACTTCGAACAGAAAATTTCCATGTGTTTGTATATTAATATAATTATACAACGACTTGGTTACTAAAAATCAATATCAATAATAATTCAAGCAATCTTATGCCACGCAATGTGGTGCGAAATGTCTTGTCGAAAAAATCTGTCATTTTTTTTTACTGATCTATACATGAAATGATAAAAGTAACTTTTTTGCATTACTGGAATTAATTAAACATTTGCAAAGATCCAGATTAACCCATGATCATGTGGCCTCGTTATTTAGAGTTGGTACTATAAAAGCATTTCAGCCTGGCCTTAGTATGCTGGTGACATTTTATGATTTTTTTTAATAATTACAGTAACTTGCAAATGTTGCAATAATAGTGGAATGCAAATATCAATATGTAATTGCATTTGAAATTGAAGAAAATAATAAAACTTAATCCAACTGTTTAGTTGCATCACAATATATGTCACAAACTAAAACTATCTTAAAAATATCTTTCAAGTATACATTATCAAAAACTGTTTGCGGCCCTTTTTACAATTTCCAAATCGCAATGCGGCTCTCGAAAACCCATGAGTTTGAAACACTGATCTATTCTAGACGATTCAAGCATTGCTTTGGGAAATAATATCACTTCAATTAAATTGAAATAATCTTGCTATATTAAATACAAAATCGTTGCTATCATAAAGGTAAACCAATTCAGCCACTCGAAATATATTGGCCTTCACAAAGCAATGGAGGCAAAATTGAGAGTTCATGAGCTATGAACATTTGTTCTTTTCTTTGTCTTGAACTTTTCATACTCCACAGCCCCTATTAATTTTTTATAATTTTAATTACCATGTGATGGTCATACATATCTTTAACTTGTATTTTCTGTCATGATGTATTATCTCAATGTGCCAAACTATTAATTAGTGGGCATATTTTGCTTCCAGATGACATAAATGTATTGTCTTGTTTATAACCTCAGCTTGGAGTATTGACAAGAAAAAGGTGCCAGTAAATTAGGTAAATTTTTTTTTCAACTCTTTGTTATAATCAGAATTCACAATCAATAGGAATTATAAACAGCCAACAATCAATAAGAATTTTATGCGAAATCCCTCAGAATAAATTTGTCTAAAATCGGAGAAAGGCGAAAATATAGGTAATTTCCACTTTCCATCCACACAAGCATTTCAAGAAGACTTGCTCGAGCCAAACTAAATGAGCATCGTCAGGTGATTGGTAAGGCTGCAAGTTGAATTCAGCCCTGCAACCTCCTGCATAGAAGATAATATTAATTAGTGGGCTAGGGGAAAGGCAGGTTAGTTGATGCTGTAGTTTAGATGATACAGCGCTTCTCACGGCCGTGCAATGCACTTTAAGAAACTGATGCGCCACCTGGTGTTTGGCTAGAATATGATCTTCCTTTCTGTTAGTCGTCTGACGATGTTGGTTGCAGCACGTGTAAAATTTTCGAAAAAAATCAATTTTTGAGATCTGGAGTGAAAACGTCAAATCAAGGTAAATTGATTATTTTTTCAGGCATTATAAATGAGCGATGCAAGCGAGTATTTCCTTGCAGTAGTGTATGATATCGCTTACATAACAGCCTACATGTTTCTGGATACTGATTTGATTTCTTCCCACTACGGTCCTTTTTTTCAAAATGGCCACAGGTTGACTAGTTGATACAATCGTGGTTCCATTAGTTGATACGTGTATCGACTAACCCTGTTATTTATTCCATGTATTTTTTTAGCATATTTTTCAGCAAATATATTTTCAGACTTTCTTTTAACCGGCTTTTATGGTTTGCAGCATTGTCAATATTTTTACGCTGCCAATATTGTTTTCAACGTATTTTAGGTGATGCCTCAGTTCTATAGAAGAAAAACAAACAGAGCCATAAGAACTCCCCCGGATGTGATGTCGAGGGCGGCTGACGATGTTGTTCGCGGGCGATCATTGAGGAGTGTAGCTGAAGCATTTGGCATCGATAAAATGACTTTGTCTCGTTTTATAGCCAAGCGCAAAAATAATCCTAACGCAATTACAGGTTACGCTGCTGTTGCTCATGCACATTATGTTATTCCTCAGCAAATGGAAGAAGATCTGGGAAATCATGTCAAACGATTGGCCGACATGTTCTTTGGACTCTCTCTTGAACAGTGTTGTAAACTAGCTTATGAATTTACATTTCAAAACCAGCTGTATATGCCAGTGTCTTGGAAAATCAACAAAAAAAGCGGGAAAAGCTTGGTGGCTAGGGTTCAAAAAACGACAAAATCTTTCCATACGGACTCCAGAGGCAACTTCACTCGGAAGGGCGACTGCATTTAATCGTCACACGGTTGGTGAATTTTTCGACAACTTAGCACAGGTCATGGATGTGGACGATTTTCACCCTGAAGATATTTACAATCTCGATGAAACCGGGTGCACCACTGTTCAAACCCCATCAGCCAAGGGTAAAAAACAAGTGGGTGCAGCTACGTCTGCTGAGCGTGGTGAACTGGTTACGGTAGTCTACACCATCTGCGCCTCTGGTAATGTGCTTCCACCTATGTTTATATTTCCGCGCGTAAACTTCCACAACCATTTTATCATTGAAGGGCCACCGGGCTGCATTGGACAAGCAACAAAGTCTGGCTGGATTAATGAAGAACTTTTTCTCGTTCATCTAGAACATCTGGTGCGCCAGACTCGTTGTACTCCCGAAAGAAAAATTCTTTTGATTTTGGATAACCACGAGTCTCATATTTCTTTACGTGCTGTTGAGATGGCAAGATCCAATGGAGTAGTTATGCTTACTTTACCACCTCACACATCTCATCGATTGCAACCGCTTGATAAAACGGTGTATGGTCCTTTCAAAGCCAGTTATAACAGAGCGATGGAGAGTTGGCTACGTAGTCATGCTGGGAAAACTGTTACAATATATGATGTTCCTGGCATTGTAAAAGAGGCTCAAATGTCAGCAATGACATCGAGGAATATTCTATCTGGATTTCAAAGCACTGGGATATACCCTTTCAATCGCGATATTTTTTACTGATGCAGATTTTTGCAGCTGCAACTTTGACGGACCGAGAAGTCGTTGGCGTTGATCGTAATGAACCAGGACAGTCCTCAAAATGCACGGATCCACTGACCCCAGGCTGTAGTACTGAAAATCGTTGCACTCTTAAACCGAGGGTTGATGAATCAGCGTTTCAGTTACAGAAAACGGGCAACCCAGATCCCGACTTATCAAATTCTTGCTCGTCGTACGTATCGCCAAGCGAGATTCAAAAAATCCCAAAAGCTCCACAAAGAAAGACCAAGCGCTCCCGAAAAAAAGGAAAGACAAAGATTTTAACATCCACGCCTGTATTAAAAGAGATTTCCCTAGAGAATGAAAAAAGAAAGAAAAACAAGATATGCAGTTCGAGAAAAAAACTTTTCGCTACAAAAAAATAGGAAAGTTCGCCCCCACAATACTAGCAATAGTTCAGAAGAGGAGTGTGCTGTTGTTAGATATGATGATACGACTGATGAAGATGAATTATCTGCAGAAGAAATTATGGAAGGTGATTACGTGGTTGTCAAAGTTGACGGGAGATCTAGAAATGTACATTACATCGCTCGTATAGATTTGCTAGAAGATAATGAGTATGAGGGAGTTTTTCTAAAGAAAGTTTCTAGTCGAGTTTCTGTCGAAGCAGAGCACACTGGTTTTGTATTTGTTCCAAATGAAGATGATGGGGCTTCATTCTCGCATGAGGACATAATATGCAGACTACCTCAGCCAACAATTCTTGCAGGATCAGCTCGGAGATGTGTTCGACTTAAATTTGATTGCGATTTGAGTAAATGGAATGTAAATTAGAGGTTGTCTACCACCATCCAGCAAACCATTTCGTTAAATGAGTTATTTGTTCTTTTTTATTTTTTTTGCCGCCGTTCCTGGTGAAACTTTCTCTCTCGTTCTTTTGAAACAAGTTATAAGTGATATTTGTGCCTCGTTCCATTTCATTTTTGGAGTAATTGCCTGCTTTTAAAAACTTTATGCAGAGTGTATCAACAAAACTACCACTGCGCATCAAGTAACCTTACCAGGCAGGATATTTGATACGTTTGACAAGAAAACTTTAGCGACTGTAAGCGCTAAGTTAGGAAATGACTGAGAGCCCCATTTTGTGGTCATATGTGAGGGACCTATAAATGAATAAATAGGACAAACCAGAACGGCGATTATTCGAACGGTATTTTTTATGGATCAGTAAAACTAAAATATGTATCAACTTACCTGCCTCTCCCCTATGACCTAAATTCCTAAATTTAAACAAACCTATCTACGATGCATTATGTACCAGCAATGTTACCTACGATTAACTGAATATGTAATATGTCTAATAAATTCACCTACAAAAGCAAGTTCGATAGGTGCAAACTTTGTGTTATGGAATTGTATCACAGCACAGTTTTGTATGACACCCTCTTTAAATGAAATTTCAATGATTAAGCGCAAACATTAAAATTACTAACTTTGAACTTTGTCATTATCTGCAAAATGTTCCACGCGAATCTTTCCGCTATCGCGTTTGTAATCTTCTCTGATAAAAAAAAAACGTCTATGATGTCCAAAATTGCTCTTTACAGCTTGCCTGCCATTCCAGCTTTCCAAGGGAGCAAAACTTCTTAGATATAGAGATTATTTTGTTTCGTTACAGGCGCAAAAAGGCAGGTACTACACGTAAAAAAGAGGCCGAGTAGCAAAAGCGAGCGGAAAACGGACGCGAAAGGCGACGAGAAATATGTGCATTGGAGCGTATCATGAAATACAATCTTTCGTCTGTAGTCTTATGGAGTGACGTCAGAGTTGCCTATCATGTTGTTTAATGTCATTGGTCGGATTTACCGTCTGAATACAGAAATATGATAGGAAATCGTCCTTAAACACTGATGGAATGGACATATGAATATTGGATTATTTATTTATCTTATGATTGCTCGAATGGTTATATACTTTTGGTTATATTTTATTATATTATCCCATTAAAAATAAAAAAGGGAAATCGGGAATATGCTCACCATTATACTGCTGATGGGGAGACTAATTATGTGCAAGAGGATAGAAATTTTACAGCATCTACTGTCTGACTATGAAGGTGCCGGTAACGGTACCGTACGCCTTGCAGCCTTGCAGTCATAAAGTCATTGCAAAGTGGTTCAGGCAACACTGCAACATAGCAGTCAGTCTGTCAGTAGCATCATCCAAGCTCATGTTATATTGAATGAGTCACTTTACCTGTTTACTAACTTAAAGAAGTGCGCTATGGAAGTCTATATACTGGTCCAAGAATCTGAAATTTGGTTATATTTTAGGGTCTAGTGTCTGAGTGTAGTTTCGTACCCCAGGCACTTCTGGTGGGCGTAGCATACTGGTACAGTGGTAACAATCTGGGTTGTCACGATTTTTGCATATGTTATTCCTAACCCTCACCTGACTATTCCATCCAAAAATTTCGTCACTACGACGTCACCATCACGCCATAGGGATTGCCAAAGTATAATTACGATTGCCCGAAATGGCATCTGCGCCGCCGATAAGAACTTGCTAAAGCCGGCGATCTCTCTCCTATCGTGATCATTGCGACAAGAAAACGAGAGAAATAGCTTGCTCCATTTCGGGTTATCGTCTGCGCGTTTTGGACGACCATCCGCATACTTCGGTGGGCCTTATTACGCCTCTGTGGCGTCGGAATGACATAATTTTTTGGTGACTTAGTCAGGTGGGGGTAAGGATTGACATATGCAAAAATTGTTGAGCCAGGCAAACTAGAAGTGGATGTGGTAATAAACTATACCAGACCCAACAATCTTTGCATATGTCTGTATGTCAATCCTATCCCTCACCTGACTTCCGGTCTTACTACTTACTGAATACAGCGCGAAACACCGCAAAGAGCGCAAAACAGCGCGAAACAGCGCGAAACAGCGCAAAACAGAGGGAAACAGCGCAAAACAGTGTGGAAACAGCGCAAAACAGCGCGAAAGAGCGCAAAACAGAAGGAAACAGTGTGAAGCAGAAAAAAATTTTGCAATGAGTTCGGGGCACCATGTTTTGAGTTGGAGTACCACGGCAGCAAATTAAAAACACAACAACACATTTTGGGTACCATAATTTAGAACATTTTCCACATGGATATGGTTGGCTTTAGGGTTAGGTAAAAAGGGACCTCCAGAAGTATGTGCACCAAGATGGCGCACAACCTAAAAATAGTATGTGTGTGTGTAGCGGATTCAGGTTGTGCGACATTTTGCTGCACATACTTCTGGAGCACCAAAAAGGTAGATAAAATTTCGCGTGATGACCTATACTCCGGTACATAACCTTGTAAATAGCGCCATAAAACCATGACGAGAGGCGCCGTGGTTCTTTCGTGGCAGGAGGTGGTAATGACTGCGTCTTCTGTTTTGCGCTGTTTCCCTCTGTTTTGCGCTGGTTTCCTTCTGTTTCGCGCTGGTTTCCTCTGTTTTGCGCTGTTTCGCGCTATTTTGCGCTGTTTCGCGCTGTTTTGCGCTCTTTGCGGTGTTTCGCGCTGTATTCAGTAAGTAGTAAGACCCCCTGACTTCATCATCCAGAAATTATGTCACTACGACGTCACAATGACATAATAAGGCCCTTCAAAATGTCATTCAAGTCGCGTAGACGACCACCCATAATTGAGCAATCTATTTCTGTCGTTGCACTTGTAGAGATCCCGATACTGCGATATGAAAGAAATTGCTGCCTTTAGTGGGTTCTTTATTGTCGGTGCAGATGCTATTTCAGTTGATCGTAGGTATACTTTGGCAAGCTCTATGACGTGATTGCAGGATTGTGACGTCGTCGCGATGTAATTTTTAGATGGATTGGTCAGGTGGGGGTTAGGATTGACATGTGCAAAAATTGTTATACTGCCACCACTAGAAGCACTTGAGGTACGAAACTACACTATTATATTATCTCATTATAGATAAAATAAAACAATGAAAATTAGTTAAAGAATCAGAATACAAAATATTAAACAAGGTATCGATTTAAATAAAGCAATGTTGCCAAAAGAATTGGTAACTATAAGTTCGCTCAATCATATATATATATTGTGAATATAAATATATCTAGTTTATATTTGAGGTGTCTATTCTATATCCAAATGCTTGTTCTCATCATTCTTGATAATCGTAAATTTTTTAATTTCTGTATTTGCAAACAATTTCCAAAATTGTGAATAAATCAATTTCAAAGTGAATGTTTTATCTCATCATGCATTTTGACTTTTATTCATGTAAAATCTAAAACCTCATTAGCGAAAATTCTACTTGTCTCTGGAACGAGGGGTATAACCTGCCGACAGATGTGTTAGTTTCGCCATGCATGTCTCGATAAAAGATTGAATCAATTGCGACGTGTGTTGTCCTCCTTCCGTCACTTGACCAAAATTGCTTTTTTCTTTTGTAAATTGGATAATTTTTTTTTTGAGAATCAGATGGTATTGTTTGTAAATTGCGGTTCTTTTCAGTTTACTTTGCACTGCCTGTTTGCCGATTTGTGTCAATATGGAGGCACAGACAGTCTCATAAAGGCAGTGTTTGCACTAAATGTTATTATAATTGATGTCTTTTAATGTGCGGGATATTCTTGCTTGGAATCGAAGAATTGTTCTGTACTGGATTGTGTTTTTTCACGATTTTTTATACCTTGGTCTTGGTGGAGTTAGGATAGGATTTACATATTTATCCCGGGTGTTAGGGAGGCCGATAAGACGGCTTAACCATATGGAAAACCACGGCCTCTCGTCCGGTTACAATTCCATGTCGGGTATGGGATTAGTTAGCTATTTGTCTTTGGAAGCATGAACTTGAATCAGAGGTGTGGTGACGAGCGTATCCCTCACGCTTAGCACATTGAGCCACACTGTCGCGCCGCTCAAATTAAGTTAATTCAGGAATCATACATACCCATATCATTTATGCTGGTTGGATGAGCAATTGATACTTGGTAAACACAGGTCAGATATCAGAATTGTTCGCCACTTTTTAATTCCAGATTGGATTTAGAATCAGAATTGAGTTTAATTGTTTTTACACTATGTAGCCGAGGGCATTGCTAAAAGAGTATTTTATTATTCTGATATGCTATTTCAGTAATATCTATATGATATGTATTTTTGTATTTTACTTTGCGCTATGGCTTGGTGGTTATAGCATTGTAAGTATAATAAATCAAGTATGCAATGGGCAGTTTCCATACATTTTATAAGTGATGGCAATAGCTATGTGAACAGACAGACCCTTGTTTGAAGTGGAGTAGAAAATGTTGATGTATTTTTATTCCAAATTTGAAATGTAAGAGTTTTCTTCTGACTACTGTGTTTGTTGCCTTTTCTGCATTTGTTACACCACTATACCCTGCTCTGTGATGCGTGAATTGATTCCATAATTGGCTTCAGAAGGAAATTGTTACTTCATAATTGCTTCCTGTCTAATTCAATGGAAAGTTTCGGAGTTTGTTGTAGTGTGTTATTACCAATTTTGGGGCACTCCAGACGTATTTGATTTGTGCCAATACGGAGGTAACTATTTTTGTTTGCCTACTTTGCATCAAGTTGTGTAAAAAGGACTGAAACCTCTGGGCAGGGGGTGTATTAACTTGGCTAACACGGACAGTCCCCGAACTCGTAGAACTGGAATAAGGGAATCGGAATAATGGCCTAACCTGTTACACATCCTACGGGAGTACCAATTTTGGTATATGGGGGTGTGTATATAACTGCTGTTCATTTCTCTCGTCCTTTGTGTAATAAATCTGTATGCACTGACTGCAGTGATACTCTAGCAAGAATCAAAACTGTTATATGGAGTGTTGCATTACACTTTCACAAATTTTATTTTACAACTGTTGTAAACTTCCTGTCTGAGGAAAGTCTACTTTTAGAATAAATGAAAGAGGCCATTAAGTCCGGCTAGTATTGGTTATTTGAGCGATTTTTAAATTGTTTTTAATTGGACGAATTCCAAAATCCAAAAAACAATATAATTAACTTTGAATTTATGTCAATATTTTATCATTTTGAACACCACATAACATAGTGAATATAGGTATTTTGAGTGGATTTTCACAACTAAATTTCAAAATGAAAATTTGTTTTCTAGATAACAATACATTTGTATTTTGTTGTTTTTCTATGATCTTTCCTTTGCCAGCATACTTGTCTGAAACATTAAAATGGCAAATTGTTGTTTCAATTTTGCTCAATTCAAATTTTTTTTTGTGGTAATAGTATGCTCGATTCATGCAGTGAATGCAATCATTTGTTACAACTATGATAGACCGGATTGTTTATCTCATAATAGTGTGAACTTAACACTTCATTATTTCCTGATAATTAATATAACATGACAGGATTATGACTTCATAATCTGTGTAATGCACCGTGCTGTTCGTTTAATGTAGCAATACAATCATGCAACTCTCTTGAGAGTTGATATCAGAGTCATATGGGGCACTTTGAAGCCTGTCCAGCACAAGGCTTAGGTGCTATTAATTAATTTTTGTCTGATAAATTTTAATAATCTTTCTATAAATATGATGTCTATCAAAGCAGTGAGCATTTAGCATGTATATAAATAAGTTTAAAATTAATTATTATTTGATACTGTATTATTTATAATATTGCAATTTTTCAGTTTTTTCTAAGTATATTATCATTGAGGCTATCGACTTTATAGCTTGCTTTTAATAGGATGTATTTTTAGGCAGTAACCATCGGTAATGTCTAATCTATCTTGGCTTTCCCAGATCTAGAAGGGACAGGTGTTAGTGCAGTTTATTGCGTAGGTGACTGAAAGTTAAGGAAGTTCGCTACATGACAAAGCTGCTTGGCGCCTTTTGCTCCCCGGGGATAAATATGAAAATATTATTCCAGCAAAAGCACAAAGTTATTTTTATTTGTTTACTCAGCGTCAGTTGGTTTAAAAAAGCATTCAGTCGCCAAACTTGGTTGACTGTGATCTCTCACTCGTTTACAGTCAGTATTCCTACCGAACAAAAATTTTACGCGCAAAGTTCCAAAGTATTTTCTGTGGTCTTCGGTTATGGGGAATTGGCTTATCTGTTTTAAGTCTCGCGTGAATCAGTATTTAGGCACTCCTTTACAGTCTCAATACCTCCCGGCACTTTAGTTGACAGTTGACGACGAAACTTTGCTCGGAGATCATTCTTTTTATTTTTAAGCTAGTGCATGAGCCTTTGCTTTGAGCAAATTTTGATTAAAGGTAATGGTTCTGAATTGTTTTCCAACCTTTGGTTATTTTCTTGATAGTCTGGGGTTGGTTGAATCCTTATCTTGGTTATATAGCCTGCTGTTGTTTGTTTTTCTATCAGTGTCTTATCTTTGTGACTTGTTGTCCTGTCCTTAATCCACTCAGAATTATAAGGGTAGTTGAATTCTTTGCTAAATAAACATTGTTAAACTTAAGTACAATAGTGCTATGACCTATTTTGTTGGCGTTAGTATGCAGACATCACAAGTTATTGGGGGATGTCTGTGGTTCTGGGAAGTAAAAATACAGATAAGGTGCAATACATACTCATTTGTATTAATGTATGAGACTTCAGCAAGAATTCAGTTCATTTTTTAGGAGTGAACTGTCATTGCTGAAAGCAGAGAGAGGCAATGGTTGTTCGCCATATGATTAAGCCGTCCTATCGACTTTCTTCTCCCTAAAAACTGGTCTGGTGACCGGACGAGAGGCCATGGTTCGCCATAGGATTACATCGTCTTGTCGGTTTTCCTCTAACTTAGGATAAATATACAAATGCATTAGATATCTTATCTGTTTTTGATTCTCACAGACTACTATTGGTCCACGGTATCATAAATAATATGCAATAATAGAAACTATGCATTGACTGAGCACGATGGGAAAAGATCAGGAATTACTCGAGGCTGCCAGAACAGGAAATACAAACCTTGTGGAAAAACTTCTTCATTCAAAATCAAAATCAAGCGCTTTCGCTGCTTCTATTGGGTGAGTTATTCAATCAAAATTTGATGTTTTTTCATTATACGATTTTTGCATTTATCTCTGAAAGAAAATATGATAAGACGGCTAATTGTCATGAAGACTCTTATCTGGTTACCTATCCAAGTTTGGTTTCAGAATAGTTAACCAGTTAGGTATTTCATATACGTGTTTAACATTTGGTAATTTTATTTGTTTAATTTGATGTTTTTGGGGATTAAATTTCTGCTTTATCCTGGGAGAATAAAGCTTATAAGATGGCTAATTGGCATGGAGAAACACAACATCTTGGACCATTACCCATTCAAGTTGGGTCAAATAATAGGCGTCTAGTTTATTATTCTAGATACATGAAATTGATTGTGAATAAAATCCGAGAGACCCGTGGGTATGTGAATTATCCTTCGACATTGAGCAGGCAATCCTCTCGCATATAATTGTTCTTTACTTTTTTTTTTATAATGTCTTTGTGATATCACACATGTAGTCAATGTTCTAATTGTCACTCATTAATTTGTTTCGTTTCGCTGTAGGTTAAAGTCTCGAATGAAAAAATTATTCAAGTATGTCAGCTTGGTAGTGTAGTTTTAGTTTTAGATCTTTTTTTGGATTTATCTGTGTGTTTTTTCATTTGTATGCTATTTTATTGACCATAAGGCACATTGTTTTATAAGGTTCACCTTCAATAAATTGCTTAGGTGGGTTATGTCTATACATAAGGCACATCTGACTATAGGGCACGACCTTTTTCAGAAAAAAAAAAGAATTTGAAATGTACCTCATGGTTCGTCAAATATGTTATGTAAATGCTATATAAATGCATGTAACATAGCCTATATATTCAGGGTAATAGCAGCATGAGATGATTCAGAATTATTTTTCATTCATTGCATCAAAAATGCATGTTTTTTCAGCGATAATCAAATAACTTAGGAAGTGTGAATATAATGTTAGTGTTTTACTGCTTAATAAAAATAACTAAACAATTATGATCCTTCTTGCCTTCTTTTCTCATTCCGATATTTTCATATTTTCAACAAAAGAGCTGATTCTTATTTACGAATCTTGACTATGTCCTAGCTAAAACCCTCTGCAACTTGCATCAAATGGAATGTGATTCTGTTGTTTCTGAACTTTGATTTTGCAATAAAATTATTGTTTTTTTGCGTCAAATATAACGTTTTTCCTTGGATGATTTGGCAATGATTTTGTCACAGAATATACATATTCATAGTATTCGATATTGGATACACCCAGGGTTTAATAATTAGTGCAGGCAATGACGAACTAGAATGATTTCAGCCCTTACAAATAATAGCAGCTATCTTGTTAGCTGTCACTGTGTCAGCTGCCTGTATATGGCCTTGCTCTGAGCGAACGAGCTTTGTACAAAAATAATTCTATAAATCCTAATTACACAGATATAATATCGTACAATGTACATAGCCTGTTAATTAGTGATGACTCCATCAGTTTGTTAATTACATAAAATTTAATAAGCTACAGCAATGGGTAGGGTATCCTAACTACTCAGATATAGACATCCTTACATAACTCGTTAATTAGTAATCACTTCATCAGTTTGTTGATTACATAAAATTGATTTATTGATTCCTTTGCCCATTTTCATTTGCGGTAATTGCTATCTTAATAATTTATCTTGGATAATCAACATTCTGAGAAGGATGAAAAATTTTTTAATCAAGCCTGGATGACCTCAAAATGCATCTATTTAGTAACTTAGGATATTTTTATTGGTACTCCCGTAGTATGTGAACCAAGATGGCGGACATCGGAATGTAGTATGTGTACCAGGTTAGGGTTAGGCCATAATTTTAATCTAATTTTCCCTATTTTAGTTCTATTACAAGTTCGGGGACCAGCCAAGTGACTCCTGTAGTATTTGTACCTGAAATTACCGCCTAACCCTAACATGGTACATATACTACGTTCCGATGTCCCCCATCTTGGTTCACATACTATGGGAATACCTTTTTATTAATGTAGAAGTTTGAGCAATTCCAATTGAGCAAGTCTTAAAGTGTGACCAAAAATTTCTTTATTTAGTTTCCAAAAATAATGTGTAGCCTATATTAACCAATTGAAACTTTTCCTGCATTTACAAATTCAAACTGATTGAATTCTATGTTTTGTTTATTAAACATGATCCAATTCATAATATATTCGACACACCATTTTCACATGAATATTTATAATGTTTACCCTACAAATCGTAACGAGTGCTACGCACCTGTGATAGCAAATAGTTGCATGAGAGAATTAATGAAAATGATGACCATTATTATTATGTTTTACTTTTATTAATAACAGAATACTTCAAATTCATCCTTACTATCACTGTCAAACCCTTTAGTGCGATCAGAGTTATGCGCGTACAAGCTGACCCCTTTAGTTTGGCAAATTTATTTTGAGTTTCAAACTTTGCTTATGTGCGAAAATATACGGTATATAATTTTGGCACCCAAAGTGTTACTACCATGTGGTGTAATAAATTGTAGTAGGGTGTAATAAATTGATCGTTCTATGCCAAAGCGTAAAAATTGTGAACTTTTTAAAAAATACATGTTCTAAATGACTGTTTTGTATAAATTTCAAGCAAAGACTTATTATTAGAATTTTTTTTCGCCATATAAATAATTCAATTTTTTTTCAGGATTCGAGTAGGTGCTCATGTGAATTGCCAAGATCAGAATGGATATACCCCACTCCATCATGCTTCATTGAATGGCCACAGGTATGCGAAAGTTATCTTAGCAAAGTTTTTTTGGTTGATTCAATCTTCATTGGCATATTTACTATTCAATCATTGACATGATGAATTGAATATATTGCAAGGACTATCTAGTTAGGAACACTATTTATGGTATGTTTATTTGCCTCAAAGATGTAACAGTATCTGCATAATAAATAAACGACGCCTGAGAAGTATGTGTACTAATAGGGAGGTAACTAATTTTGTTTGCCCAAGTATTTATATCAAGTTGTGTAAGGGGACTGAAACCCATGGGCACTTGGCTAACACAGACAGTCCCCAAACTTGTAATAGAACTAAAATAAGGAAAATCGGAATAAAATTATGGCGTAACCCTAACTTGGTACACATACTACTAGAGCAGGGGTTCTCAACCTGGGGTTCGCGAACCCCCAGGGGTCACGCGAAGATTTCCAGGGGTACTTGGATGGCAGTCGAGTTTTTGCATGTTGCTGTTTTTTATAAACCTTTATTACGGTACTTCCATGGGAAAATGCGTGCCCATTGAAATTAGTCGCCAATTGAAACCTAGATTTTCCCTGATCTTGCGTTGTTGTGATTAAGACGCAACAATGTGAAATTCAAGGCTTTGTGCACAAACTGTGAAATCTCTAAAGAAAGCGTGCTGCGAGCATTGTAGAGGTGATTATGCTCATTGTAACTTTGGAGAGATTTTAAGAACTCATTAGTTAGGCAGACAACAAGGGCAATAATATCAACAAGACGATTCAATTTAGTTACATATGGTCAATAAATTGGTGTTGCAACAAATTGTAAGTCAATATATCAGTATATCACAACTTTGTTTGGTGTCTGATTACCGGGGGTTCGCGTTGATTTTATCGTGACTCAGGGGGTACTTGACAGAAAAAAGGTTGAGTACTACAACCCCTGTACTAGAGAGTACCAAATAAACATTATAACAGAAACAGGACTAACAGGTTCAAGACCTTACAATCTAAAAAATAGGTAATCATGCATATGTTTAAGAAGAAATATGTTTAAATGATAGTAATGTTAAATGAAACACAATGTACCAGGCACTGTATAACTGCATAGATTCAGGCCGTTTCCACACAGAGCTTTGTCATACAGAATGACAAAAAGTGCCTCCATTCAATTTTTGAAAAGTGAAAAAGTAGAAAACCAAACAAACTACATTTTCAAGTTCAAACAAGTTTAATATGCATTGACTCCTAGATGTTTTCTTCGTTGATCATGACTTAATATGTTCAATACTCACAACATTTTTGTGAGAATGTATTTGGGTTAGTGAATGGGATTTGGCCATTTCTGTTCGTCACTTGATTTTGTTCTTTTCATTTTCTGTTGCACTCTTTTGACCTTGCTGTGAGCAAATTTCCAATTTTAAATTTGTCAAACCAAATATTGTAGACTTCAAACAAAAATATTAAAATAATATCAGAATTGCCTCGAGGCAGTTTCATTATATTTGATAATGAATCAATCTTAGTTTTCATAATAACTTAATTTGTTTTAAGTCATCTACTTTGATCATATGATTTATGAGTCATTGTCGTTCTCTCTTATGCCACTCATATTTGAAAACCCATATTCAATTCAAGGTTTTTGAAGCTTTGATCAAAGCATCTCTCATATTTGGAATTGATCACCTATTAAATTCGTGTATTTAAAAAAAAAATGAGTCTGAATTAAATTCAGAAATGACTTATTTGTGAAACTCAGAAATCGAAATTGCAATTTTTTGTATCAGATTCGCAACAAGTCAATGTTTATTTTCAGGAGTTTCAAGGTCGAAACGACCAAAATTATTATTTGAAAAACTTGCAAAGAAATAGACATTTTTAGGCTGATATTCCTGGCTGTATTTATATTATGGCCAGTTGTGCTTTTACTGGCTCAGTTCATTCAGTTGCCACAATAAACTTTGCTTTTATCAAATGTGGTATTTTCTCCCTATTGTGAGATTCTTCCTATTGTCTCAATTAAGGTTTACAATCTGCAGTTTCCTTCTTATTTAGTTCACACCATTGTTTATATTTAACGCACTATATATTGTAAATAATGGGCCAAAAACTATTACTTCTCTGCCTCAGATGTATTCCCAAAATATTATTGAAATCTTAGGAGAATTAAACCTTTTCTAAATTTAGTCGATTTGGAAGATTGCTCAACTCAATCCATATTTATTCAATATTTATCAATATAATGAAAAAAGGTGAAAAGCTCAACCAGAAAAATTTCATTTCTTTTAAAACAGCAGATTCTTTCATATTTGCTGTGATGCGTGTTTGTATTGAATGTGAAAAAAGTCGCTCAGAATAAAAAAAGTTCCAAAGTTGAGTGGAACTAATTTGGCAATTATCAATAAAAATTTAAATTGCATATCCTAAACCATTTTTAAAATTCAAGGTATTATCTGTATGGTACTGTGAAACATAATTTATTTTAACTGTATTTAGCATCTCTTGTGTCACATTCAACCAAAATAAAATTTTAGTGGTCTCACAGTTGTTACTTATTAATATATTTATTGGATTAGTTTGGTTTGTTCCATTTTATTCCACCGCCATCTTTAGATCAATACTAAATCATTTACTGTTACTGATACACAGTGCTTTGTATGCAGAGATGGTCAAATTATTTACCATTCCGAATTCACAAATAGATTTGTATTGCACTAGGAATGTATGGGTCTTTGGCTCGTGATTTAATTCCTAACAATTCAAAAACCAAATTCAGAATTTTTCAGGCTTGACATTCATTACCCAATCTATTACACTTTGCGTGAGATGATGGGCATGGGATCTGAACAGCCGGAGGTCAGAAAAAGTGTGTTTTTTAAAGTCGATCGTCTTGAGGGTCTGATGGCCTTTCAAGATATGAAAATTACTGTGTATGGTACATGAAAATGCTTTTTCTACATTTCAAAATAGGGAGGGGGGTTTCCGACCTTCAATGCCCCACCCGCTGAGTACACGCCTGACAACAAGGCCCACAAATAGACATTTACAACTGTTTCTTAATTTCTTGAATTATATTCTTTTAGCATTGCTGTAAATAACAAAATTGAATTTATTTTTTCAGTGACATTGTCCAATTACTCCTTGATGTTGGGGCTTCTGTGAATACTAAAGACAAGAATGGGAGCCGTCCTTTACATCTTGCTGCTTGGAACGGAAAATCTGAAATTGTGAAAATATTACTCACTAATGGTCCAAACTTTGCCAGTGTGAATGAGCAGGTCAGTAATTAAAAGATAAAAATTATTTATCTTCAGCATGTTTTTAGGTAAAGTTTAAGCTAGCAGCGCCAGAACTCTCTTTGAATGAGGCACTAGGCAAGGGGCCTTACTGTACGGTACAAAACTTATGAATAGGTTCATCATTTTTGTCCTTATGCATTTTCAAGTTAGATGATGTATTTGATATATCTAGTTCCCTATTGGGGTGGGGGGGGGTGGGGGGGTAGGGGGAGGTTGAAGCATTACATTTGCTATAAAAATTATTTTCGGCTTTTTCTACTTTTAGTTAGGAGCTTGTAATCTCTAACTAAACTTGCAAAAGGATATTTTGATATAGTTATTTCTTATTAATAGCCCTGATAAGTGTCAATACGGACATTCAAAACATTGACTAAACGTTTCTGTAATCGTTTGTCATTTAGCTGTTATGTACTATGTATTATTTTGATAGGAACCTATCTAGTATGTGTGATAGGACAGTAGTTTGTCTGTATTGACCAGGGGTTCCCGGAACCGGGTGTCGCGGCCCCAAATTGGGTCGGAGTGATAAGTAGGAAGGGTCGCAAACAAGTTGGTGGGGTCGCTGATGTATGGTAGAGGATGGATGAACGAAACATCTAAGATTTGATAAATCATGTTAAATTTAACAGCTTGTATCATGGCTTACTGTAAAACAGGCCCATAGGCATCTCTCTATGCTTAAGCTATAGGAATGTAGCCGCTTATTGTGACATCATTGTTTGGTTTTAGCTTATATTACTTAATACCACCACATGACCAAACTCAAAAGTCCAGTGAAAGAAGCTCCAAAGTTTCATGAAAAATATATATATTGACCTGGGGTCGCACTGGACAATTGAAAGTTGTCTTTGGGGTCGTCCTAAATAAAAACTTGGGAACCCCTGGTATAGACATTTGGGTGCTCCTGAAGTATGCGAACCAAGATGGCGGACAACGGAACGTAACATGGGTAACAGGTTAGGGTTAGGCGATAATTTTTTTCCAATTTTCCCTATTTTAGTCTTATTATCAGTTCGAAGACTAGCCAAGAGCCTCCCGCAGTATTTATACCTAAAATTAGGGCCTAACCCTAACCTAGTTCACATATTACATTCCGATGTCCGCCATCTTGGTTTGCATACTTCGGGAGCCCCGACATTTGTATCATTGACATTGCTATATTGTTTGCTTTCTGCCAGTTGTCCATGTTTATGAAACCGTATATTACCTCACAGAACGCCGACAAGGAAACGGCCTTACATTGTGCTGCTCAACATGGACACAGAGAGTCAGTGAAGATATTGCTTGACAACCATGCTGATCCTGAGGTTCGTATAAATATTTTATGCCCATGTTTTGTAAAATGCTTCTGGTAAGCAGGGAGTTTGTGTATATACTGTTGTGGGCATGATTTTTGAGGATAGAATTATTTTTTTGTATGGTTTTGATGAGTTCTGTTTGGTCAGAGTTTGACATTATTTTTTGTAAAGTAGACATAGACTTGAAGTTATATTTCCCAATTTCAAATTTTGGCAATTTGTTATAAATTTTTGACTGAAATAGATAAAGTTGTGTTCAAACTGCTTAGATTTTGAGGAAGTTTCATTTTTTACAAATTGTGAGCTATTTTCATTATATTTATGTCAATTACCTATATATAATTTTTGCTATTTTGATGAAAACAGAACAGTGAGCGATAAGAGAGTGATTTTTTCTGGCAACTGATATCTCTTTACCATATTTCATCTCGTTGTGCATCTTATGGCCAGGCCAGTGTTTCCAAACCTATGGCTCACGACCCAAAACTAGGTCACCTTAAAATCATCTTGGGTAGCTCTGGCTTTCCAACAATAACTTGAAAATTGACAATTTCATTTTCTAGCAGATTTTATCGTTTGTTTTATCCTTGGGATGGAGATTTTACAAAATTTAACTTTGTAAAAAGTATTGATTGCCTGAAAAAGGGGTTGGAAACCACGACCTTTCCCTTTTCATCTCATTATTTCAATTTTGCAGCTTCGTAACATCAGAGACGAGTCTGCTCTTGATCTGGCATCCCAGTATGGCCGATTAGAAGTTGTTCGATTGCTACTGAGTTGCCATCCAAATCTACTTGCCAGATCTCCAGAACGCTTTACTCCTTTACATCTTGCGTCTCGGAACGGTCATCGTGGGGTCGTCGAGTTATTGTTGGTGCATGGTGCTGATATTAATAAAGTGGTGAGTGGTATAAAAGTTGGTTTCGTGTTTTATGTATGATTCGTGTTCTGCAGATGATCAAATTGTGGTTTCTAGTCTATATCGTTGAATCATAGCAAAATGAACCTATTTTATTAATGTCCTATTACAACCAAACATACCCGTTGAATGGCAAATGAACATTTTATACAGTGGAAAGTGGGATGTGCATATTGCTGGTAACGGCCAGTGGGTGAAATCATTAAATCCATGCATGTCAGTGGCTTCTGGGTTGAAGTTCATGCATCTGAAACAAATAACTGGCTAACTGTTCCCATGGTAACCGGCTGTGGTTTGCCATATGATTGAGTCATCATATTGGTTTTCTCTCCTCCGAGATAAATACTGGTATGTAAATCCTATACCATATCTTATCTAGTGCAAGTTCGAAGAATACTCTGCGCAAAACCTTTCATTTCAAAAGGTCATTTTACAGTGATAATGGCAAAGTGGCATTACAGGGATTTTTCAAACGTGAAAAATGCTGTATGAAAAAGATTAATTCCCCCAAAATTTTTTTTCGTTTACGGTAGTTTGTCCATCTTAGCTATAATGAAATTTAACAACTTGGCTTGCAAACCCTTATTAAAACAGTTGTGTACTGAATTCAAAAGTTCTTTTCCAAAAAAATCTGAAACTTGATCTGATCTGAAAAAAATGCAATTTCCCTATTTTAGAATCTATATTTTCTAGTTATAATAGTTTGTCCATCTTAGCCAAAAAGAAATTTAACAACTTAGCAAAACTCCTGAACAATGAGGCACTATTGATACTGTGGGTTGTTTGAATAAGTTTATGCTGGCTTACCTCTTGTTAAAATATTTGTCAATATCCATGACCAAGTTTAAATAATTGATAATAATTCTTATTTAGTTATTGATCATGCTTGGTACTACTATAAGGATTTCTAGTTTTATTTGAACAATAAAAGTTATTTGGTTCTCAATAAATTTTAGTTTTTTATTGTTTGCTCCAATTTAGTGGTTTTTGTTGTAAAATCTTGGATTTTAATGGGAATTCATCTTTGAATTGGTATTTCAGAAGCAGAATGGCTTTTAATGTTTTTTTTTATGATAAATCGGCAATATTTGTATATATTGGGGGGAATGGGATATGAGATTTAAATGTATAAACCCCAAAACATTGAAAATGTAATGATTCGATTCTAAAATCTCAATACGAAAATTCTGTTTGGCATTAGAATTCAATTGGCACAAAAGATGAAATGATGACCAAAATCGAATAATCTACATTTGAAATATAGTAATATTTCCAAATAGGAATTATTGCATTTATTCTGAATTGAATCATTTTCAAGTGAAAATTTCACAGAAACCATTGTAAATTGATAGAAATAAAATAAATCTTCCCTCATTTATTTTCTATTCATAAATATTCAGATGTTAAATGAATTATAATGTCTGACCATTAGATTTCAAATTTTTAAAATCAAACTATACCAGGATCTCCCAAACATTTAAGCTCACTCGCTTCCAATTTATCGAAATTTTTCGTGACCCCTTTGAAGTCGTCATTGTCATGCAAGCGTGCATCTTCTCGGGTCTTACGATCATTGGTTATGTCGGCATTGTTATGCACGAACACTATTTCTCTGATCTCATGTATTCTCTTGGAATTGTGATGTTTATAATTTGCTATCAGTAGAGGTTGCGCGAGACTAACTCCCAATCCTTTCTCAATGCCTTTGCGCTAGTGGATTCGTATGCCTATAATGCAAAGATGCTGTAGCAGGAATAAAAATACCATATTATGCCATTCAAGAGTTCTGCAGATTGCAGTAAACTGCTTGTCTGAGGAAGTCTGATTTTGGTCAGACGAAACGTTGCAGAAATATATGTGTTACTCTTTGCATTGCAGAATTGCATTTTATAATTTGCGCTGGTTTCAATAGTCTAAAAAACAATATTAGATGTAGTACTTTGTGTGAAATTGGCGTACTCTTTGTGCCCTTAAAATTCCTTGGGCAGCCATCTGTCGGGTCACGACCCCCAGTTTGGGAAGCCCTAAACCAGGGGTCGGCAACCTACGGCCCGCGGAGTAATATAATCCGGCCCTCGACGCTTCACTGAGTTATAGTAACAAAACAGCTATTTTGATGAATATATTTTTCACGTTACACAATTCATTGTGAGACGCGTGTAGACGAAATTATATTATAATCTAACAAGGATAAAATTCACAATTACTCGTTTGATGAGCCTATAATTTAATCATAATTAGACAAATGGTAACAAAACGCAGTAGAGTGCAAAGGGTACAATGGCGCCGAAGATGCAATGCAAAAAGGAAATAAATCGATATTCTATTCGAGAAATGCATCACTGATTCATTATTATTATAAAAAGTATCATCCGTTCGGATTTCAACTTTCTAAAAATATGTGCGACCCGTCAATGACTTGCAACCTTAATTTTGGCCCGCGAGTAACAAAAGGTTGCCGACCTCTGCCCTAAACTATACCACCCTGTATTGTTACTGAAATTGAGAATTTACTTTATTGAACATGACCAATTTCAGATTTATTTTCTGAATTGTTTTGTACTTTGAATATTGCAACCCATAATGAAATAGTAAACATTTAAAATTTATCTAGAATATCTTTTTTTATCTTGATGAAATACCAGCAGACTTAATAACTTCACTGTTTGCCGACTACTTTTTGATAAATTGTTTACTTAGTGGAACTATGATAAAACTTCGACAATACTCTTGAATTTTTCGGATCGGATATTTGTTTACCTGATAGTTGAATTAAGACGACTTTGTGACGCACTGACGCCCGATCTTGATTGCTTAAGATAAGAGTACGGAAGCCAATCATATTGTGAACCTGTGTGTCACGTCCAGTTACCAGTCAATGTCAGTAATGAAATAGTTATTTCTAGATTATTGTTCCAGATGCATGTAACCTATGTTTATTTGAGCCACCCTACTCTGACCGAGCGTCTAGCCGTTATGGAAAATTGTCTGTCTTGCAAAACGTGATTGTAGTTTATTCTTGCTTTTAGAAAAAAATTTAAATTATTTACATTTTATTTTAGCCGTTTGGCATCTGATCCCCAAATAAAAATTAAACTGAGTAAAAATTTAATTTTCATATAAAAATCAATTAAAGAAATTTTATTTCAAAATACCTCAATTTAATTTAGTTACAGAGGCTTCTTACTTTATTTAACATATTTTGTTTTTCAAATATTCTTCAAATGAATTTTTAATGTTTGCAAAGACTTCTTGAAATTTTCCTTGTTCAATATTGCCCACTTTAAAAGATATTCGATATTCCTAATATTGTAGTTCAGTTGCCTGATTTATGCCTCAATAATGAAAAAATAATTCTTTTACTTTGCAAATCCAGGGAGCGAATGGTACTGCATTGCATGAAGCTGCGTTATTTGGAAAGTATGATGTTGTCAGTCTGTTGTTGAAGAGAGGAGCGGAGACCGGATCAAAGGATACAAGCGGGCGCTCTGCGTTGGAACTCGTGTCGCAACTTGACACTCAGATATCAAGAGACATTGCTAAGCTCATCATAGGTAAGATTTTAGGAATTTGAAATTTTCAATTTTTCTATAATGTGACAAATCGTATTATTCGGAAATATTTTCAATTTTTCAACTTATCAATTCACATTTTTCTGTCTAATCAATGACAAACTCACCTCTTTTATTAGGGAAAGGATGTTTTTTTCAACAAAAAAAAAAATACGGGTAAATCTGGGTAATATGCTGTTATTTCAAATACATTCTAAATATTTATGAATGTGGGATATCGAATATATCATAAATTAAAAACAGTTTTTTTTTCTTGATTATTCATTGCAATTATTTAAATTTTTCATGTGTGATAGCTCACAGATTTTTTTATACTAACATTGAATCATCCCTGTGTGATTTAGAGCGTTAATGACTCGATAAACTAAGTTTGTTATGACTGATGACTTAGAAAATCAAAATTAACATTTTGTTTTTTAAATTTCTCATTTTTTCATCATAAATGCGGTAAATGTGGGTATTTTTCGTTAAAATATTTATATAACAACCTATGACATGACTTTTTATGTTTTATTTCATGCTTAATATGTTGACTGCCATATCAATTTAGGATTATAACAATCCTAATTAGGCTTTGGCTCATGTGTGATAGACAAGAGCAGTACTTCTGAGTAAAAAAGTTTCTGGGGGAATAAATATAAGACTTTGAGCAAATGGCCAGCAAGCTGAGTCCATGACAAAATTTGTGAAAAAATTGTCTTTATTTTGATTTGATTCTATACTGTGTGTGTCCTATAGCAGGGCTACTCAACTATTTTTATCGAAGGTCCGCAAACAAAACTTTAAAATTATTTGGGTCCGGTCTTTCCAGAAATGATATTTCGGCATCCTTAAACGAGCACTTTCTCGACCGACTGATGATTAGTAGCAAATTAAAATTGATTATTATGGTGTTATAGTTCTTTTCGCATATATTCAAAACTATGAAAGTCATTTTATAATAGGAAATTCAAAAAGTGGGGCTAATGATCCAAAATAAATAATTAGGTGCGGTCCAAATCCAATACTCGAAAGGTCCGGATTTGGACCGCGGTCCGCCAGTTGAGTAGCCCTGTCCTATAGGATGAGCGCTTGTTCGAACTGCACAAACAAACAAAACTGAATTTGTAACTTATTCATGATTATTTGCACACTTGTAGACATTGCTATAATTTTACTTAGAGTTCACTATATAGTTTTTTAATTTTTTTTCACTCCTAAAATGTAGATACTAATTTTTATCGGTTTCAATAAATAGTCCATGCATCTGAAAAAAAGGTTGATCATTGCCATACCCAACATGGACTGGAAACTGGGTGAGAGCCCATGGGTTGCCATGTGATTTAGCCGCTTTATCGTTGTTCCTCCCACCCAGGTTAAAAAGTGAAATCCTAACCTACTCGTAAAAGCTTTATCTAAACTTAAAACCGGTGTTTTGCTGTCTCTGGTGCTTTTCCTTAATCTTACAAATAAAATTTCAGCTCGGATCCAGGAAGGCGAAGATTATGAACCGTTTTGTGGGATTGTTTCTTCTACTCCCCAGCGGAGAAAACTGGGTGAAGGTGATTGCTGCTGATTAGAGACTACTTTCTAACCTTTAACCTTTGCTTGGTGATCTTTAATCTTAGAATCGGTGATGTGTGACTAAATCTGATTTCTATAGCAATCATTTCATTTGACCTTTAACCCCTGTGTTCAATTATGCTTGACAAAACAGCTAATCCTCCTTAGCAATCATTTCATCTGACCTTTAACCCTTGCTTTCTGTGAGTTGTGTCTTGAATTAATTTCTTTATCAGTCATTTGACCTTTGACTCTTGTGTTCAGTGACGCGTGATCAAAATTAGTTTCTTCAATAATCATTTCCTCACCTTTGACCTTTCACCTTTGTCTTGGGGTATCTATATGTATTTTGATATTTCCATCCCGGGCTGTGGCATCTGTCAATTGTCTTTCATTTGTTTTCTGTGAACTTTGACCCCATCATTGCGCAATAATGCTTCTTACCTCTATTGCTTCTGAATTTTCTAACTCCAACTGGATGGTACATCATGACTCGCTTACTTGACTTCTCATTGAGCGAATATTTATAATAAACACTCTTTGGTCATCTGTGCTAATTTTTCACCTGGTTTCGTATTTCTATCTCATTAAAATTTAATCCAGTCTATATTTTTGTAACTCGATTTTTGGTGAGTTTTCTTTTCTTCTGCGCAAGAGCTTGCACTCATGAAAACAAGATTGGCTACTTCTCGTGCATTCATATACTTGTTGGTGTCATTGTGCATGTTACTCATTTGTTTTCTGTAAACACCTATTGCTGTATTACTATCTAATATCTGTTTCATCTTGGCTGTTGATACGTTTGGTCAGCATGGCTCTATGAAATAATGCAAGTCCTTTGCAGCTGTATTTTGTTCTTATTTAATAAATAGCAAACATTTACATAAATCATGGCTAGATAGTCCAAATATAGACTTCTGATGGTAATCAGGCAATATTATCGGTACTCCCGTAGTATGTGAACCAAGATGGCAGACACCGGAACGTGGTATGTGTACCAGGTTTAGGGTTAGGCCATGATTTTATTCCAATTTTCTTTATTTTAGTTCTATTAGGAGTCCGGGGACTAGCCAAGTGACCGTAGTATTTGTACCTGAAATTATGGCCTAACCTTAAACTGATACACTTACTACATTTCGCTGTTCGCCATCTTGGTTCACATACTACGGGAGTACCATATTTTCTACAAGTACTCTCAGCCTATGAGGTGGATAGCTTGACGCTGGTGTAACTTATACATGCTTGTCACCAAATTTGTGGCGAGGACGACACGACTAACCATCGCCTTTCCTATCCGTCGGGATAAATGTAAAATATTCGGCGCTCCAGAAGTGTGTGTACCAATGTGGAGGTAACTAATTTTGTTCGCCTATTTTACATAAGTTGTTTAAAGGATAATCGGAATAAAATTATGGTCTGACCCTAACCTGGTACACACACTACAGAAAGACCAAAAATTCTATATTGTGTCGCCCACATAAGTATGTTCAAGACGCTAACTACTTAGTCATTGGTAATGTCAAAATAATCTTTTGTTCACTTGCGGCATGGCAAAAAGTTTTACGAGTTTTTCCTTTTACTAATAATACAAATAAATGTTTTATAATTTATGAACAGTTTTGATAATTTCTAGTGTTATTATCGAATCATCGAGTCGAGATTTGATTTTTTAACTTACACAAGTGCATGATTGTTTCTGGTCCACTTTAGTGCATTGGAATCAGTCAAGTGTGACTGGTCAGAATAATCTTCTGCCAATAATTGATTCTGCCATTCACACATCCATGAGCATGTTTTTGTTGTTTGTTCTCATTGACTAAACCTCCTAACTAAAAGTCAGTGGGGCGTTACTAGTCAGAACAGTATCATTCTAATAGAAATAAGAACATGCTGCCTTTATGCGCTTCATTGGGTTCTGGGTTATTAAGAGGTGATTGTACCCAAGTAAATCGTCATTTTAAAAGCAAGATGGATTACTTGGAACAATTATTTTCGTGAATTAAAATGTGTTTAAAATGAATTTGAAACATTTTCTAATATTTTTCTTTCAGATATGAAAGCGAGGAATGAATTTGACAAGCCTACAAATGTATTTGGTAAGTTTCGAGATTAGGATAAGATTTTTATATTCAATCTTACGGGGGGGGGGGGGGGGTGGAAAGAGTGAAAAAAAGACGGCTCAATCATACCGGGAAAACGCTACTTCCGTAGTGTGTGTACCAGGTTAGCTTAAATTTATTCCGATTTCCCTTATTTTAGTTCTATTACGAGTTTGGGGATTATCTGTGTTAGCCAAGTGAATATACCCCCTGCCCATAGGTTTCAATTCCTTTATACAACTTGATGTAAAATAGGCCAACGAATTAAGTCACCTCCATCTTGGTACACTTCTGGAGCGCCAGAAAAACAGCCTCATTTCAGATTACTGTCCATGTTTCCAAGGGTGGTCGAGTGCCCAGTTTGAGATATTCTGGTTTAATATTCATCTTTATTTCAGTCGCCTCACCAACCTTGTCTCGCAACCTGTCTCATAGTTTTGGAGAAGCAGATTTGGTGTCTCGTGAGCCATCGAGAGGACGACCTTCAATTTCACCTTCATTCCGATACTCAAGGTCATCACAACTCAGTCCTGAAACTTCAAAAAGTCCGAGTGGACATCGGATACGACTACGAAGGACATCATCTGCTAGAAGTGCTAGGTTGGTGATTTTAGGGGAGTAGCCTAAACGGGTCGGGGATGGGGTAGTGGCGCAGGGTTGAGGGTTGGCACCCCTCGTTTAAAATGTAAAAAAACTTTTTCTGTGTCATACATAACAATTTTTTGTAACTTGAAACGATTTTAGGAAACTCAAGCCAGGATTAACCATTGAGTAGACAGAAGAATTAGGATTACTTTGCAGGCACTAGCAAAAATCAATAATTGGTGCGACACTTTTATCTGGTCATAAATACAGCTAATTTACATGAGAACTCTGTTGAGGGAAGCTTTCTGTTTCTGCTACTTCTTTATAAACTTTACAAAAAAAATCTATTTGTTCAATCTTTCCGCAACTACTTCTATAGCGACTCTTACTTTCAAAGTTCGAAATTTTAATCGATTATTGAAGATTGTATTTTTTGTTGAAAGACTTTTGCGTAGTTTAAATCTGCTGCTGTTCAGCTGCCATAGGTACCTATGTGACAGATTGAATGCCCATATCACTTCGTGTCTTTATATTTTAGCATGGCTCTCTTGTTTACTTTAAATTTCTACATCTTGCTTACGTCTAAATTAACAGTTGACAGTAGTTTTCTGTGCATTCGCGGCTCCCTTCTCTCACCGACCAGTTTTTCTATATCTAGTTACATAACTGATATCTTATTTGAAGAAGCTATCATATTTTTATCTATTCACCACAGGTCACTTCCAAGGCTGGTGTCCACAGCCAGTTTCCATGGCAACAGGAGTCTCCATAGTCTCCACGGGAAGAAAAGCGACGTAACGTCAATGCAAGATTGGTCGGTACGTCAACATCATCCATCTATCGACATGTTTCCTGTGACCCCAACTCGGGCTTCTCAAACGAGTCGTAAAACTTCATCTTCTGAGCCTTCCTCTCCCACACATTTAGGCCCGATGTCAATTTCCCCAATCAGACCTGGTGACACTCCAGAAGTCGTCGTTCACGGCACACCATTACGACTAGAAGATGACAATGTATTCTTCCCTGGGACTCCAACGTCAGGTCGTCCATCTTTTGAAACATTTTTACCATCCAATCATTCCAGGCCCGAACCAAAAACTGTCATCCCTCTAAAACCACCTGCTGATGACTCGACAGATTCAAAAATTGCCAAGTCATTATTCACCCCCTCAAGTCAACAAAAAATAATTCCAATAATCATAACTAAATCATCCCCAGGGGATTCCCCTTTAGACTCGCCACAACAAAAACTTACTTTGGTTATGTCAAGTGATACTCCTCCTCCTTTGCCCAAAAAGAGCACAGCATCTCCACCTTGTGGAATAGAGCCTAGCTCACCCCCAATTCCAGTCAAAAAAAGTAATTCACAGCCAGAACAAGTTATAATAGACCCAGAATCAACAAAATCAAAAGAAACCGGTAAATCAAGTTTTTCCGAGGATATAATTCCGCCCAACTCAATGACATTTGAAGGTCATCAGTCCTCTGGTAGCATCAAACATGACTCTTCTAGTATATTAAATGCGAGTATTTCTTCTGCTTCTGATCTCTCTCCCACAGTCAAGTCTCCCAACGCCCCCAGGAAGCCACAGAGAAACAGACCAGTTCTGTCTCCGCCACCTCTTCCTCCTAAACCAGCTCACATGATGCAAGAGCCTAAGGTAAGGTTATATTACTGCTAACTTTACTCCATAAAATACAGCCCGAAAATATTTCTAAACTTGGGATATTCTACAGGGTGTCCAAAATATTTCGCCCAATTTTATAGTGATAACAAATAAAAATTTCCTTGTCTTCGTTTATTAATGGTTCTTATTTTGCTTGTAGTTCTCATTTATCATACAATGAAATTTATTAAAACTTACAATTGTAATTACTATGAAATCGAGCGAAATTTTTATTTGTTTTTACTATGAATTTTTTGGACACTCTAGAACAATGGTTCTCAACCTGTGGTACCCGTACCACTAGTGGTACGCAGGAGCTTTTTAAGTGGTACGCGTGAAGTTTTAAATTATTGAACCAATCATCTTTTGAGTTGATAGCGCTATCAGTCATTGTCTTTAGAAATTGCTCTCGGCAGCTACTGCCCACCTAAAACGAATCTAGACGATGCTTTAGGGCCCAGGGGTGGCCAACCTACTTGCGACCGCGATCGACCAAAATCGTCAAAACAGCTCGAGAAGTTTACACACAAAAACAAATGGATTTGAATAGCCTATGCAGACAACTGCACACACGCATACAAGAAATTCTACCGCTACCAATAAGCTCGGTTCTTTGGGCGCATTCTCAATGAAATCAACATAAAAATTCGTATTCTTACGTGTCATTCAATTTGATTATGTAATTGTACCCGTAGTAAATGCTTCATCATTCATTCAAATCATACAATTCAGAATTAAAGAGTTAAGACTTGTCTTAAGTTTTAGTCGCAAGTGTTGATAATTCCTCAAAAAACCGTGCCAAGTATCCATGTATTATCTAAAAAGCGAAAAATAAATATTCCCAAACCAAAAATGTTACATGACTGCTCAAACTTCCTAATTTACAATTTCCTCCGAGTCCGATTCTGTGCTGAGTCTGCTCTTTTGGAATTGGAAGAATTGGGCATTCTGATGCCACTAGCTCTTCCGCTCTGATGTTAGATGACGCAAATTCTCTCGAGATTTTACACGCATTTAGTATGTTGTTACTGCATATGATTACGTTGAAACTTTGCACCAATGTCTAAAAATGTATATAGTGCCACTTTAAATACTCCCATAGCACGTTTATTGTGTCCTTGTTCCACACATCAAAAATGTACCATTATCGGTGGTACGCCGCCAGAGTGAAAAACATCAAAGTGGTACGCAGACAGTAAAAGGTTGAGAACCACTGCCCTAGAATAAGATATTCATTTTATAGGGTCAAAATTCAAAATTGGTCTGAACGACAGCTTGCTTGAATTTTATTTTTTAAATAAAATTATTTTGAATTTTTCTTTAATAAAAAATGTTCTGTATTTTTTCAATATTTAAGAGACCTCGGCCGCCATCCCCAACTCAGCCCCCACCACTAGATGATGATGAAGATATTTTTGCAGAGGAGGAGGAAATAGAGTCATTTTCACGCGATGTAGATAATGATGACTCATCTTTTATCACTGTAGAGGTAAGAAGAGAGGCACTGTGACATAAATTTATATCAACAGATTGGACCTCCTGAAGTATGCGCACTAAGATGGCGCACAACCTGAACTCAGGTTGTGTACTAGGTTAAGGGTTCATGTTATGCGACATCTTGGTGCGCATACTTCAGGAGCACGGGAGTAGACGGGAAATATTGATCATAGTCCAGACTGCAGTCTCAATTCAATTAATTCCATTTTTTCTTACTCAAATGGGTCAAAGGTCACAAACCAATAACTAAAAGTGACTAATAACTTTCAATACGATCTTTTTGACTTATTGTTGGCATTATATATTTGTGACTATAGAAATATTTCCTAAGTACTGGCAAGCAAATACATATTACATCTATTCAGCACAGCACTTATCTTTGTACGAAGTTATAGGGCCACCACTGAAATGCAGTGATTCTCAACCTTTTTTCTTTTATGGCCCAAATTCTGTGGCTCACTAACATTTTCATGCTGGGGAAAAACTTTTGAGAAAAACATAGAATTCTTGGTGCTCCTGAAGTATGCGCACCAAGATGTCGCATAACCCGAACCCTAACCTGATACACAACCTGGGTTCAGGTTGTGCGCCAAGCGCATACTTCAGGAGGTTCGAATTCTTTTTTCGAAGATGGACATTTTCAGTTTAATAATAATTAGGTGAAATTTACCAACCTCGTAACAAAAAACTGCATCATTCATTGCTGCTTCCATCAAATTCAACCAACTTTTTCGACAACTCTAGCATTAATAGGTCTGTGGCACACCTGAAAATATTCCTGCGGCCCAGCAGTGGCCAACTGGTCGAAAGTCAGTGGCTTAGAGCTCCTAAAATAGAACGATGACAGGGCATTACATGTCAGTACACTGGTTAACGAGATACTTAAAACAGATAGCAAAAAATGACTTGCCTAGACCTATCACTAATACAGGGCCCGCTCTCAAGTCAAAATATTTTCATATTTTCAGGGCGAAGATATAACAAGGTTGCCAGATTCTACCACTGTTACTGAAACCAACACCACTGAAGCGGGATCTCAATCAAGGTCTTGCAACCTGTCACCACCATTGAGCAGCTGTCACAGTGGATCGACAACGTCAACTATTTCCACCGTAATTTTTATTCCTTCCCCAACAAATGTCGCAAAAAGTGACAGTTCCGACTCCCCGGACACCGATAACCCCATGGTCGAATTTGAACCCCATGAGGATCCTGCTAGTTTACAGTGTGACCAGGATTTGTCCCAGAAAAGTGGAAACACAACCCCAGAATCCCCGTTTCCGACTGACAGCAACAGTATACCTAATTTTGCACCTGTGAATTCTGTCTCGCCCCAAAATGACGACAATTCTTCAATAATAGACAATAGTAACACAACTCAGAATAAATCAAAAGAAATCTCCAATCAAACGTTTCTTTCACCAAAATCCGCCACAATTTCAGAAAACACAACTATTGAAATTATCAACCTAACTTATGAAAACTCTCTTATCGATCAAAATACTGTTAAAACCAGCATATCAAACCCTGTTGAAGACAATTCTACCTCAAACGATACCCCAGTATCCCCCACTTTGAGGTCCCCGAGCCCCCCTTTTTCACCCCCCTCCCCAAACACCGCCATGTTGCAAGTTTCTTCAGCCATTCAGAAGGTGAGTAACCCTTCTCCCTTTGTAGTATTTGTTTTTTGAGAGAGTTTTTTTCGAAGGTCACTGATGCACTCTCAAGAGTAAAAGAGCTCATTTCTGAAGAAAGTTTCAGATCTTATGCCTAGGGCTGGGCATTTCGAATCCTATTGTAAATTATCTGCATCCGTTCAGACGAAAGTTTCGAATTGCCGCCATCTTGTTTTTTTCGTCCAAGTGTCCACCATAGGTCGAGCTGAATTCCTCAAATTTTTTATTGAAACCATATTTTTATATCTCTCGTTTATTTCGAGTGAGTTATCCAAGTAACATTTACCTTATTATATGTAAACGCTCAGTGAATTGTCTGAGTGATAGGTTCTATGTTTTCAGGAATTTATGTGTCTGGTGGACCCAGTACAATAAAAATCACGTACAATAACCGTACATATCTCCCCGTTATTTGAGATTTGATTCGAAAAATATATTCGGATTGATTCTGAAATCATCAGGTATTCGAAAATGCCCCGCCCTAATTAAGATCGTACAGCATTTACTCAGAAGTGAAGGTGACTAATCTCTGAGTTACTTATGAGTGACCACGGAAACTGATAGTTACTAAAAACAGAATAATGGTTATGGTGCATTGCACGCCGGTAAATACTGTGTGGTGCAAAACCTGAAACAGATCAAGTCAACACTGCCGAAGAAACAGTGTAGACTAGTGGTTATCAAACTTTGTAAGCTGCGTCCACTTTTTTTTAAATTTGTCAAGCCTCAAAAATAACTAGCTAAAAATAAGCTACAAATAACAGTAAGTCGAAAGTATGTTTTATTCAAAAAACATGTGTACATAATAAAGAAATGTAAACAATAAAAAAATGTAAATATCTAAAATAAGGCGGGCAAGATCAAATCAAACAAATATTTCTATTAAGCTCCACACGGCCCCCTAATGGAGCATGCCGCACTGTTTGAGAACCATTGGTCTAGGGAATTTCTTAGAGCAAGAAATCTTGGGAGGTAATTGAGGATGGTTTGAGTTGCACACCTGCTATTATCAACAAAGAAATTTTTGTGTTATGCTTTTTTAATAGCTGCTAATCCAAGCTGCAAAATATGATCAAATTTATCAAAAGCATGGCGCAATATTGTTCTCAAATAAAACTAGATTGCTCACCATTGCTTGTGATTATGCTCAATGAGCTGGCAATTGTATGCCATGCTTTTATATATTTGGTAAAATATTATTATAATGATCTGTACCAGCAATCACTGGTATGTAGTGGGCTACTGTTATTGAAATTACCGTAATCTTTTTTGGTTTGCCACTCAATTTATCACATTCCGGGTGGTAGGCTGGAATTCGAAAGAGTAAACTTTTTGAAGTTATGTTCAACTCTGAAAGATAAAAGTTTCCACCACTTTTATATTTATTTACCAGAACACTAGTTCTTACTAAAAACACTAAATATGCATCTTTTTTTTTAAATGCATATTCAAAATGATAAGTGAAATGTGATAGCGTATTTTATGTCCCTTACGTGAATTAACATTTTCAAATGAAAGTTTGAAATCTTTAATGTAATCCCAAATCATTTTCTCTGTCTTTTATTATTTTCTCAATAAAGACAGATTGTCAACATTAACCAGGTAAGACAGAGTTGCATGTTGTCATCCACGTGGCTCTAACACATCATTGTGATGTCATAAAACTGCTGAATATTTGAAAAATAACAAATTGCTTGTTCTGTCATAATTGTGGTTAGATTGTCTTTTTCTGGTCCAATTCACAATACAAATCAATTTATGCTGTCATTATCATTTGCATATTAGTTGACTGTGATCAAATAATGTTGTTGGAAAACCAATTGCTTAGTGATGTGTTGATATTGATTTGTCTTGTAATAATTGTAATAAATTGTTGTCCAATTGTGATGCAAGGAAAATATAAATTAATTTATTCTGTCATAATCATTCTATTACTGTTTAATTGTTATGTAATAATTTGATTTTTGAATTTGAAGTTTTCTGTCCACGCTTGTTAGAGTGCAGCATGGCTGTTGCATGCTTGCCAGTTTAAATGTGATACTAATCTTAGACTTCACATCACATAACTAATCACATAAAACTTCACATAAACTCCATTGACCACATAAAATGGCGCTCCAAAAGTGTGTGTACCAATATGGAGGTAACTAATTTTGTTTGCTTATTTTACATCAAGTTGTGTGAAGGGACTTATAGGCAGGGGGTATATTTAATTGGCTAAATCAGACAGTCCCCGCACTCGAAATAGAACTAAAATAAAGAAAATTGGAATAAAATTATGGCCTAACCCTAACTCGGTACACATACTACGGAATTACCAATAAAATAATTAAACATTCTGTTATGTCACTAACAGGCACCTAACCCACAAACCTGACACTACTTGGTAAATCTGGTGAGGTTGGTAGAACAGGGTGGTATTTGAGGGGTGTCTCAAAAATTTTGTGCATACTTGCCCTACGTGTCCTACTTGCCCTACTTTGCTCTGGGACAAGTGGGGCACAATACATTTAAAACACCGGCATTTAAGCATGATCATGAACCTAGTTAAGAGCTTGCGGTTGGATGTAACTTTCATATTAATTGCTTTGGAGAAGAAAGCTGATAACCCAACTTAATGGTGAATGGCATAGATGGGGTTGTGATCTCTAGGCCACTAAACAGGGTGTTATAATGAGATTAAATTATTTTGACCGTGGGGACAGTTTCACTTATGAAATATCAAAACTGATAATCTGTACTCTGAAAATAGAATTTTTCGGAATATTTCTGCTAAAAAATTCAATTGGACTAAATGAGTCACAACGATGGGTTAACGGCACTTGTGAAACTGGCGTTCCGATTTTCTGACACCTGTCGTACTATGATAAGCCTTGTATCACTATTACAGTGATTGTAACTTTTCTATCAGTTCTCTATTTTCACTCTATTTTTTCAGTGCTTAGAACAGGGGTGTGCAACCTCCTGCCCGCGGACTAAATGCGTCCCACATGATAAAATTGTGCGGCTCACGAAATGTGCCAAATATTAATTGTGTGCGGCCCTCTTTTGATTTAGCTTAATCTCGTACATTTGAGTCATTTCAATTCCTTTGCGTTGCAAAACCTATACCTGTGTGCAGCGAACAACTCATGTCAAATGAACAATGACCAAAGTTTTTGTGACTACTACAAAACCTATGTTAAATGAAGGTACGGCCGCGGTTTCACCCAGTTATGTCTATCTGGCCCTTCTGTATCAAAGGTTGCACCTTCCTGGTTTAGAATATGGTTAGTGTAGCAGTGGTGCTCGAGCGTAAAGGGTGATAGAAAGTAGAATGATTGATAATTAGTAGCTTTTAGGTTTTTTTGTGGAATTTCATAATTTTGCCTGTTCGTAATACTTGTGAAAGTAATCAGTTTGAGAATGATTATCCTTAGTAACACTTGACTTCAAAAAGTTAACAAAATAGCTTGTTCTTTTTTCATATGCACAGTTAGTGTGCGCTTCTTTCTGCCTTTATTATTATAACTGTTAGCTTTATATGTTCAGTATATGTGTTTCAGAATTCTTTGAATTTACTAATGGTTGCATAGCGTCATTATACTTGAACTCAAGTTGATTCAGTCTCTAGAGAAAATCAATTTTAACCTAATTAATCCAGCTAAGGGAATGATATAAAATGTAGTGTCCTGAGTTTCAACGACCTCTCTCTATCATGAACTGTGCGTTAATAATGATTTTAAAGCACCAAACAGACTGATGTATTTTTATTAGTTTGAATTTTTTTAATTCCTATTTTATTTCATTTTCAGGCGATACCAACAGAGAAGTCTTCTATCAACACATCTATGCAATCATCATCATCAACTTCTTTTTCTTCTTTAAAGACTAATTTAACTAACACACAACTCAACACTGAGCCAATCCATATAAAAGAGAATGAACTAAACTCTGTGGCACCCAAAACAGCACCAAGTCTCCACAAAACTATAACTTTGAAGCCGAATTTAGAACCTGGCACATCTACAAAGCCGTCCTTGATGCAAGGAAGAAAGCAAAATACGGCCCAACAGGATAAATCTCTGATGACACCAACAATTGACAAGGAATCTGTAAAAGTGCTGAATTCTCAAAATGTGCCAAATGTGTCTTTGAAAATGTCCAATAAACAACCAACTAACCCTAGTCCGTCAAAAGCAATGATCATGCCAGTTCACAAAGACCAGAAGCATCATCAGGCCAACACAACGCTAACAACAGCTCCTATAAAAAAAACTGAAGATGTGTCGCTCAAAGTTAGAAATGAGGACGTATCTATCAAAGAGACAAATGTTAATAAACTGTTTCATTCTGAAGTCTCTTTACCTGCAACGTTATTAAGTACTGCACCAGTTAGTGAACAAAATCCTACACAAAAGACTAATCTTATTCCAGCAGATAGGGCACAGCCCAGATCAATCCCACCTCATCATACTCAACCAGAGTTAAACCCTAGAAGCCCACCAACAAAGACAAAGCCATCCCATGACCATGTCACTTCTCAATTGTCTGCTGGAGAGACTCAAATAACAGTCAATAGCAATGAACAAAAATTGTCACAGAAGACAGACCTAAACTCAGGGAAAGCAGCGTCTGAAACAAAGTCGATGAGTCAAACACTACCTAAACCGGTATTATCCAATGATACCTTAACATATAAAACATTGGAAAAACCAGCAGGATCAAAAACAACACCCGCTGAAGTGGCTGATACGAGGAGCAACACACTACCCAAAGTCACTGCACCACAGGTTAAGCCCAGAAGATCAATAGGTGCAAGACCTTGGTCTAGGAAAATTACCGATTCGTCACACAGTCTGTTTTCCTCTAATCTTGTCAAAGGGCAAATGACTGTTGCCAGAAATGCAACAGAAAATAATAATGGGAGTCATACACAGACTCCTTTGACACAAACAAAGCCAGTGGAGACTGTTGCCAGGTTTTATAATGTTTCAACCACTGAAACTACTCAGGAGATTTCAAAATTACAAACTGTGCCAATTATGACTGGAAATAACCAGTTGAAACCGGATTTTGAACAAGTGGAGGCTCTCGGTCCAAAACAAAAGTCTGAGAATTTGATAATAAACAAGTTCACAAATATCACAAGCTCTCCAATGTCATCAATTCCATCAGTGAATGAGGGTAAGATCTTGAAGCCAAGTATTGTACTTGCACCTAAACCTTTCAGTAGAACTGTCTCTGAAAAACGAACTCAGAGTATTAAGCCTGCACTTCCGAAAAAGAGATTGTCCCTCGATTCTATTCAACAAAGAAATAGGACGCAAGGGGAATTTTCTACTTTGACTTTACCGAAAAGTGTAAAAAATAGAGTCGATTTGAGGCAACTTCAATCAAAATCATTGACTAGTGTTCATATGCCTGTATCCACTGTCTCAAACACAAAGAAATTATCATCAACTGTGAATACGAAAAATTTAATGGAAAAGACTCAACAGGGTGGAGAAAATGAACACAAGAGTGCGCTAGTGAGGCGTGAGTCGAAAAACCAACAACTGAGGCCTCAAAGTGATTTATATTACACAGCCACTGAAGTCAAACGTGCAAGGATATGTAGCACTCGTTCTGTCATTGAAATCCCAAACACAAAAATTTACAGCGAATATGACAACTCACAAAATGAAAATGAAAACCCACTTGCCAGAAATAAGAGGAGTTCATCTTTAGGTCCTCAAGTGAAAACACCATATCCTGAGCCTAAACCTATGAATGTACAGATTGAAATAAAAACTGCACCTTCGATACGACGACGTGTGAGTGACGCCTACACACAGACTTACCCTCCAAAATTGAAGTCGAGGCCAAGATTATCATTGCAGAAATCAAAATCCATTGATCGAGTTCATCGAGACATGTCTGAAACTAAGGATTTTTCAATCCCAATTTCCCAATCTTCTGTAAATGCTATCACCCCCGCAGTTCCATCTCCTCCAAAAAATACCTCAGAATCTCCAAATTCATCACCAAGGCCAGTTCCTAAGATCAAACCAGCTCTTGTTTCCACCCCAACAAAGCTACAAAGGCCTAAAAAACCCACAAAGCCAGCTCACCTTCTGAATTACAAGCCAAGTATAAAAGCTAAAACTTTGCCAAAAACAAATACCTTGAAAACTGAGAAAGAATTGTCTTCTTCCAATGATGACGTTTTTAAAGCAGGATCTGGTCGCGACTTGTCGATGCAACATAATTCATCGTTGGCTGGTGAGGAATTTAATTTAATAAATAGAGTTTTTTTCGAAGCAAGGTGATGTGTCATTACTTATCGATTTTAATCGGTAAGTATGTTGATAGGTATTTGTCTGTCTGTCTGTTAGATGCACGAGATATCTCACGAAAACGAGATTGAATCTGCTCCAGATTTTGCATGTGCATTCATCATATGTTGTACCAGAAGCCTATTGATTTGGATGAATTATGTCGTATAATTAGCGAGTTATTAATTAATTAGTGATAAGACACAAGGTGTCACTATGAAGTAAGAGCGCCGTTTTGGGGGATCCCCTAACTTTTGATCGATAAGTCCTCGGTCTCTGACCGATATTCTATTTGCACTCACTCAGAAATCAAAAAGACTCAATTTTGAACAAAGTCGCGTCACTGAACCACTGAAATGCCAGGGCTCTCACTCGAAAGTAGAAAAGGTTCATGTCTAGAAAAGTCATGGACAATACTAAAATGCTTAGAGCCATGGGCACTCACTCAGAAGTAAAGGAGACTAATCTCTGAGCAAAGTTATGAATGATCGCTGAAATTCCAAAAGACATACAACATAAAGCTGTGGTGATGGCGTGATTCATTACCTGCCAGTAAATTAGTAATGTTTGAATAACTAATCATGGTATATCGCTTTTCCCATCAAAATGTAATTACGCATCAACTGGACAAGCAGAAATCAATCCAATCAAATTTCAAAACTATGGAATTAATATACTGATAGTTTATTACTTCTCATTATATTTTTCTTAATTTCAGATAAGTCTGCAATCTCTGTCCTCTCACTCGATACATCAGATGATTGGAACGATGCTTTATCAGATCGGACTGAAGATTTGAACTTTCCAAAAGATGTTCGAAGATTTAGAGGTCAGTTGGTTTTGTAATTGACCAGAAGTCTTATTTCAAGGACTCAGTTTATAAAAGAATTCAATTTTTTTGTTTTCACTCTGCTTTTTATCAACCATTCACTCTGTAAAAGGCTCTATGCAAGCATTCACGCATATATGGAGAGATTTTCTTACCAGTATCTCTATTTTGAATATAGTATAGGCCATGTCTTATCTGGCAAACCTTTTGCAGTTTAGGGTGTAAGGTGCATTAGCATTGGGAGCCCGAACTATCACATGAACAGCCTTTCAATGTTTACGAGCCTTTCTGGTATAATATTGGCTCTGGATTCATCCTACAATTTTGGAACGTTGAAATATGTCGTAGAACACGACAAGTAGTCTTTAAATCTTGCTCCTGGTTGTCATTATTATGAGGGTTGTCTGTTGCTTGATATTGTGAAATTGTTTGTGTTAGGTTTTGGTATGCTTTGCTATACTTCACCTGTTATTACTTATCGATTTTAATCGGTAAGTATGTTGATAGGTATTTGTCTGTCTGTTTGTGTGTATGTCTGTTAGATGCACGCGATATCTTACGAAAGCGAGATTGAATCTGCTCCAGATTTTGCATGTGCATTCATCATATCTCGGACCAAAAGCCTATTGATTTTGGGTGAATTATGTCGTATAATTAGCGAGTTATTAAATAATTAGTGATGGAACACAAGGTGTCACTATGGAGTAAGAGCGCTGTTTTGGGGGATCCCCTAACTGCCGATCGAAAAGTCTTCGGCCTCCGACCGATATTCCTCAATGTTGTATTGTGGTGTACCTGTTATTATATTTTTTTGTAACGAAAGGTTCATTGTAGCAATGATTTGTCTTCATCATGAGATTTATCTTTTAATCAGTAAAAATTTGAGAGATTAATTATGATAGATTTTTAGCTTCCAGAACTAGTTACTAATTCTAATCTGTTAGTTAGTCAGTCAATAAGGCAATTTATTTCTTCAGTTTGCTGGAGAAATACTCAATTATAGGCAGTTGATGAGGCTGTAGTGTGTTTATGTGGTCTTACTTAATTATAGGGTTCAAAGTCTAAGAAAACTTGCAGTAACGTTCCTAAGTTTCCAAGTTGCCATTAAACTTGTGCTGAAATATTCATGACTTTGAATTCTGCAGAAAAAGTGTGAAATATTGATTTGCGTTAGCTGCTTTGCAACAAGCTTTTGTGCCGATGTATCGAATAGCGAGATCGATATCTATGGTGATAAAATTTTGTAGCAAGTAGAAAGAAATTACAGATTTCTTCTCATCTTACTCAGTTAAATGTCACTACCTCTTGGTTTCTCTTGTGGGGTATTTTAAATTATCTACAGATCTAAAAGTCAGTTTTCTAATGATATTCTGCCAGTTTTAATTTTATTTAGTGCAGCGGATAAATTATGTTTATTAAAATGTCTTTATAATTCTTGCTAGTTCTAACTAAGAGATCATATTCTTACAACTTCTAGTTAAATTTCCATGTTAGTTCATGTTTAAATTTATATGTGGCGATTGCCTGTGTAATATAGATCTTGTATTAATTAATTCCTCAAGATTGATCATGACATCCTAAAAGTCTGAAGGGCAATTCTGATATGCGAAAATTCCCTGGGAAACTCCAAAAAATACATATATGTTAATTTGGTCTTAATTCTGGCAGTTAATACTAATGGCATATGTAAATATAATTATTGCTGTTAGTTGATATACAACTATAAATTGAATGACATGCGCTTGGTATGGACATATGGTGTTTGGTTGGTAAGTTCTGTTTTACTAATATATCAAGTTTGGTATTGTAGTTTGTATATTGTTTTGCTAATGTTCTTATCTATTTGGCCTTTTTATGTGTTCATTAGAAATACACCACAGCAGTTTACTGATAAGTGTTTAATTCAAGCTATCAGCAACTGTCATTTGAGCATTGCATTAAATCTGTTTTGCCGCAGAGTCCTTGCTTCCTGCTGTACTAGAAAGTAATTGGCTGTGGTTGATATCTACTTTAGAAGAAGTGCCAAGCCCTCTGTTGGAGATAAAACCAAGTAGGCGGTCTATATCAAGCTATTACGTCACAGATATTGACTTTGTCGAGAGGCTTGTAAATATTAAGAACTGGTACAGCTTGAGAAACTACTAATTGTCTGATGGCACTGCATGGTCTTGTTTTATCCAGTAATTCAGCGCTGTAAGTTGGGACTAAGGTGAATGTTCTTATTCACTTGGGTATATTTATAGGATATTGAAGGTTGTTCAATAACATGCTTCCTTGTAGTTGAAATTTTCGAAATAAATATTGATTGCTATATCAGATACAACCATGTCAATATTCAATGTTGAGTTTGCCATGTTTAACTAAGCGGGAGAGGAAAGTCGATAGAAGTAAGAAAAGGGGGGACCATGGCCTCTTGCGGGATTGTGTGGCCTATGATTTCATATTCTGACAATTTTTTTGATTAAAAGACAGTTTTATATGTATCTCGATTACTAAATGCTGATTTCGAGACATTTTATTTTTACTTCCCGCATGAACTGAATTAAACTTACTTTCCGGCTTTATTGAAGTCCGGCGTCTTGTTTCTTTTTATCGCCATTTACCATATCTTATTGTATCCTGAATTGTATCCGAGCATTGTGATTGTTAATTCTGATGAATTGTTCCGTCACCTTATCACTTCCGAATTTTATTGTCAGCTTGATTGATGCGACAATGTGGATTATCACCTAATAATTAATTTAAAAACGCTCTAAGAATGAATGGAAACAAATTCCGAGGGACGCGGTTTGCCTTCTCAACTGGAGGTCGATATTTCAAGCTATTTCGACCATATAATATTAATATTTTAGATCTAACTGCGTTCATAATTGTTTTATTTTTTTATTTAGTAATTAAAGATTATATAACACGGTCAGTTTTGATTTGCGTATATTTTCATGAACGGTTATTTATATATAAACATCTAATTTTATACCAAATATAAACAAGAGAGCTATGCTCAAATATATGGACACGTAGCGCCACATAATTTTGAGAACGTCATAGCAAAAAATAAAAGTAATAGCCTTCTGGAGAAAAATTCCATCTTTAACCACAGAAAATTTCAAAGAAACTGGTCCAGTAATCAAAGAGAAAAGCGATTTCTCCAAAACGGGTCAATGAACGAGAACAACATAACAACAAAAGGTGACCGTACATTTGAACCCACGTACATTTGAACGCATGTGTATATCCACGGGTTCAATCTATATGCGGGTGCTAAAACCCATGGGTTAGGGTGAGTATGGGTTCAAATATCGGTAAAACAAAAAATAATTCATAAGTGCGATAGTATGCAGGTACAATTGTCATGGGTTCAAATGTAATGGAACCCAACAAAACGATCGTTATGTCCACTAAACATGTCCAATAATAATAAAATAGAAAGTGAAATTGCGTTGCAGCTTGACGTCTGAGTTGGTCAGTGTGTTGACCGACTGCGTTTCGGAATTGTTTTTCCAATGCAATGAGCAAAGTAGTATCTTATTGTGAAATAATCTTCACGAGTCTTGTTCTCGATGTGTTTACACTTATCTTCAGAAAATATGGGTCTGTTAATGTCATTTTCCATCGTTTTTATGAAATATTTTCCACCTCATAAATTTTTATATCTCTACTAAATGGCCTAATAGTGTTTCCGTGAATGCTCATGCGTCGTGTACCTTAAATAAATTACCTTCTACCCATAATGCTATGTCAGTCTATCGGTTAAGGTGCGCTATTATTTTTCGATGGGATATTCCTATTTATTCTCAGTGACTTTCATTTAGACCAGTAATAGTTTAGATTCTAGGATTTGAAAATTTGCTCAAAACAGAATTGAAGATGAGGAATTTGAATTTCAGTGTTTTTTATACTGGCAATTTTGAAAAGTTGTTAAAAGGCATAAATAAGAAATTATTCATTACTTGAATCAGCCAGAAATTCATGACATTTTAGTTATTGAATTAGGATGCACAGTCGCTGAATAATGTTCAAGATTTAGTCTCGTGGCTGGATAAAATTTTACCGACTCAAATTTTAAACTATACCACAACTCTTTTTATGGTGGTATTGCTTCTGATGAACTGCTTGTCTTGCGCTAATCGGTTTTAACTTGCGCTTAATGCACCACCGGAATTATATGTTTAGTAGCTATGGGCACGTTAGTAAACGAACAAAGCTTTGCCCAGAGATGATTCTCTTTTCGGTGTGAACGCGCTGCCGAAAAAAATCATCATATTATACATTACCGCATCATGTTCCAATTCATATCATGAAATTGTCCAGAAATCGAGAGTTCTATTTTACGTATCAAAGGTCGTTATACCGTCATCACGGGCAGTGTCTATGAATATGTCACCCGCTGATAGCAGATCAAACGAAAAGCGTTTTTGTGATGTGTTCTTTGAAGTCTTAATAGTGAACAAAGTGGGTGTCGAATTAATTTCATTTGTAGCAATTTTTATGCTTTCAAAAGTAAATCCATTTTCTTCTTGTTCTACATTATAAGTTGTTTCGGATATTCTCCCCGGAGGCAAGGGCTGTGGGCCAGATTACACATCTCTGGTTCAAATCCCGAAAGATTCCGGTATTTCCGAATAAAATTAGCTTTTGACATATTGTGAGATAGCAGTTCCTGCTTATACAGGCCTTGTTCGGAGTGGAATGGGCGGGTAATTGTCGTAAAGAAATGAATATCGTATGACACTGTTTGTTCTATCTAGATTCTAGAGAACGTTGTTGGCCATGGGTTAATTGTGGAAATACATCAGCCTCATGTTCAAAATCAGATTGTTTCCTTGACATTAAAGATCACGAGTCATGACTATACCACGTCACAATTACAAGTCTTTGAGCAACAATATACGTGCCACAGAGTAATGTTAATGAGCGATAAACAAATTGTTTCCCATCGGCATGTTATTACGTCCAAGCGACCCCGATGTGATAATCTTTTCATAAATACGTATAAGATC